ATGGCAGGGAGGTTGGATTAGATGATCTCTAAGGTCCCTTCCAACCTAAGCCATTCTATGATTCTGTGACTCTTGCCAAAAAGGATAGACGGTCCTTGAATACCAATTTTTCAAACATGTGGTTGCCGAAATTACTGTGATTAAAATAATCCAAGGTTAGATCGTGCTAAATAAATTAGTTATTGGCATCATTGTGCATTAATTATGGAAGTGAATGATTTTTAGATGAAATGTGTCATTTATTGTCCTTTATCTCAGTGTTCACTGTCATTACCCATCAGCAGTCTTTAACTAAGTATGTCCCATTGCTGGAAGAAAGGAACTGCTCTGAAAAAATCTAAAGATAGGAAATTGAAACACGAAGTATCTCCCTGCAAAAAAGGAGCCACATTTGGGAAACATTTGCTGGTGACTTTCATCTTAGTAAGCGGACTAATCTACATGTCCTCAAAGCAACAGTCAGACCTGAGGGTCTTTCCCATGTCTTCATCAATACCGCAAAGCGGGTGACTGTTTAAATCCAGTTCTCTGCTGCTCAGTGCAGTTAGCTTGTTTCTTTTCCTGACTGAATGGCCATGAATGCAAGATTGGGGTTCGGGTTTTTACCTAAGTTTTGTTCTTTTTGCTCTCTGTTTCCTAGTCTCTTTCTTTCAAGGTGTAACTTTGATGGGAAAGAATTGATACCTACTTCACAGTTTTCAAATGAGTCTCAGCTTTCACATGTAAAGTTTAAGAAACAGAAGTGAGGAAAATATTTGAAAAGGAGGCTGTTGTGATTGGACTTGTATTTAATTTCTGAAAGAAAAACAATTTTGCAACCCTCTGGAACAAGTACAGCTATGTTAAGACTAAAATTTTATTTTTAGTTTACTTAAAAGTAAGGTTTTCCCTTTAAGTATACAACTGCATAATGTATAACTGTCCTGTTTAGCAAGGATTTTGGAGAAAAATCTATGATACTTTCTTCATTTTCTTTACTTTCATAAAGAAATAATCTTTTACTGTTTTAATCAAGTATACAAGATGCAGCTGAGGGGTAAGTGGTAGTATTCTACATTGAGGTATCGAGTTAAAGTTGGGTGTAGATGGAAATGACTGTTGTGATATTCTGAACTGTGATGTACTATTTCAACCAGTAGTCCTAACAATTGTTGTGGAACTGGCTTACCTAAGTCCCTAAAATTAAAAATGAAAGCCTAAAGCTTTCTAGAAGTCAATATGCCTCCATTTTTACTAGTGGCAGACCAAGGCTAAGAATGATTGCCTTGCCTAGCCCACAACCATAGAAGTATGGTTTTTTCTATCAATCTGGCTAAATGTAGTAGATGCGGTTACATTTTTACATATAGGTCAGAGACATTCATTGAACTTTATTTTCTCAGCCTCCATGTACTGCATAACTAGAAAATGAATACTGCTTCCCAGAGATACCCAAGAAATTATCGAAACACAGGACTTGAAAAAAAAGTCAAACCACAGTAACAGTGGGAAAAAACGTGAATAAAGGAAAACTGATCTCTTTATGAGGGAAAAAGTCAGTAACTTTGGACTCTGGGGATCTTCAGATCTCGCCTCAATTGTAATATTCCCTTTTCACCCTGGGCAGCTTGGATTAGGTACTTTATAAAATTTTACCTGATGTCTAATGTGTGCCTGAATTTCCCATCTGTAAACAAAAGGTATTCAACTTCCTTTCAAAGGAACATCAGTAGATAAAGTCAATTAAAGATTGCACAGAGCTCTGGTACTACAGAATAGGAACTCTCTCAGAGGTATTTTTGATGAACATATAAGCCAAGCATAACAGTTACTTTATTACTGCTTTTTATTATTACCATAGTGAAAATACGCTTGATCATAAATTCATTTTGCTTCTCTATATTAACAGCGAAAATAGAAACAAAGATCTTTAAGAAATAATTCCATAAATGCTATAGATTTGGTGCATTTTCATTGTTGACTGGCAATTACGTCACAAAAAATAATTTATTGAAAAATGAAGAAACAGTAAAATGTGAATTTCAGTTCATTCAGCCAAAGTTGGAAAAAAATCAAGTCCTGGAAAAAGTAAAATCTTCTTATTTTCATGATGTCAATATGGAATATTTCAACTTCATTTAATCAAATCAATGTATGTATTTGACGTTTGACTGAGGTCTTTATTTAAACAGAATTATTTCTTTTGTGTCATTTGCTTAAAACCCTCTCATTTTCTATTTGGGTCACAGATGATGTTGTCCATTGGATGCAGAGTTTCACTGTTTGACAGGTTGAATAGATAACGATTTAAAGAAACCACACTTGAAGTTTCTGGGAACAGGAAAGGTTATATAATTTTGTTGTCTGAGCTGGATAGCTTGACTTATGCTCTGGAACTCTACGGATTAAACTAAGAGCATTGTCAGGTATCCACACTCCTCTGTCCTTGCCAAAACTTGAATGACTCTTGTAATCAATGAGTCATATGCAATGAGAGTGAGTCCTAGCAGGAAGAGTAAATCAAAGAGCATCTTTTCTCCTCTGTTGGTTGTTTTTCACATTCTTACTTCTTACCTCTGACCAAATTGATTTCTTTCTAGCTTTGAGCTTGAAAAGCTATGTCGATTTACTATGTCTGTAAAGAAGAATTATCGCCGTGTGCCCTACCACAACTGGAAGCATGCAGTTACTGTTGCACATTGCATGTATGCCATACTTCAGAACAACCAGGGGCTTTTCACTGATCTAGAGGTAGGTGATATGACCATAACTAGACCTCATCAGAGGTATTGGCCGTTGTAGAAGTACCTTTTCTATGCTAGAATTTACAGTCAGCTTGAGCAGTGTATACAAATGTCCTTGCAGACGAATGGGTGTGAGTAGCAAGCCTGAGGAACAAGAATTATTCAGATTCCTAATGCCTAGCGTTTGTTTCACATTTCTTGGGTCTGCTTAGTGAAGAAGAAGTAGCAGATTTTCTGTAAGTCCATGTCCACATTTTGAGTTCTTCCTACCAACTTACAACAACAGCCTTTATTTTAATTATTTAACTGACTGTCAGATCTGTACTGAGGGGAGGGAAATGCCCTGGGTCTTGAATCCTGTGAGTTCTGGTACATCCTGAATAGGAAGACAAGGGAGAAGGGCTTCGTCTTGCAGAGATGGTTGGCATACATGAATAAAGGATAAAAGTGGAAAGCATGGAAGGAAAACAGTTGTCCAAAAGTGCTAATTCAGTAATATTATTGTGCTACAGTTTTCCTTAGTATATGCGTACGTATTTTAAAGATTAAACACAGGTTGTAAAATACACCACCGAAGAATTAAACTTATGGGGGAAGGATGGAAAAGCTTATGCCCAGTAGATCTAACATGATGTAGCACAAAGGATTCCGAGACTCATCTTTCTTTTGCTATCAAAGACTGTTTTTCAAGTCTGTTGTTTACACACCTTGCCCCTCCTGATAGTACTGAAAAGGAGGTGTGAGCTTGCTACAGCTGTTGCTGCATGACTTCAGGTAACATAGAGTGTGTTACATGCCTAAAGGTTCCACTTCAGCTGAGGATCTGTGTGAACATGTGCTGCTGTGTCATCTGTTTCATTATGTGCTTTTTATTGAAAAGGCATAATTAAAAATAAAAGTGAAGGACTCAAAATCAGAAATACTGTTAGGGTTGCTACAACCTTAATTCTGCACATTTTATATTTGTGATAAAATCTGTTTGCAGTGACTGCTTCACAAACATTAATGAACGTGTTTTCAAAACGCACTGCGTGAAAACTTTCTGTTGAAAGATTGATTTCAGGGACTCCATTCCTTCAGGATATTAAAGAGTTAATTAAATAAAAATATCAATTAACATCTTCCTTTGTTTGCAATTGCCATTGTCCAGAGTTTCTGTGGCCTTGCGTTAGGAGATGTGGTCCACAGTCAGTGTCTTCAAGGAGCATTGCAGAGGCAGCACTGAATTTTGGTGCAGCTGCCTTGACCAGGAGGTCATACATTTTATGTATTTCCTCTCCCTCAATAACTGTATTTCTAATATTATTTTAATAAACTACCTTGTTTAAAACACAGATTTCTTCCTGAAGCAGAATCCCTCCAACAGTATGTGATCATGCAACAATGTTTTATAAATTCATAATATATAAAAGATTCGAATTAAAATTGGGCCAAGAATTTTAATTTGGCACATCCTCGTTTTCATATGTCTCACAATTTTAAGCATGTTTCTCCATGTGCTTTTTGAGGACTGTGTATGTGTAAGCATAGTGAAACTTTTAAAGTATTTTGGGAAGAGAGTGACATCTAGGGGCAGGAAGTACATCTTACTTTTCATGTTTATCTCAATTTTTTTGTAGCGAAAAGGTCTTTTAGTTGCATGCCTATGTCATGACCTGGATCACAGAGGTTACAGCAACAGCTATCTTCAGAAATTTGATCATCCCTTAGCTGCTCTTTATTCCACATCAACAATGGAACAGCACCACTTCTCACAGACTGTGTCCATCCTGCAGGTAGGATTATTGAAATTGTATCTTCTGTGCAGTAGAGTCCAATGGTGGAAATAGGAGTCACATCATTACTCTGTAGATTTTCTGTAGCATGCTTAGTTTAATTTCTGGTTTGTAGTGCTCATTTAGAAGAGTTGGAAGATTTATTACAGCAAGCCGTGTTCCTCATTTAGTAACCCAAACATTCAACAATAGTGCAAAACATAGCTTTCCCAAAATCTTGACGCTATAACAAATAGCATGTATTTGAAGGTCTTTGCTCGTGGCCTTTCTTTGGAGCTTTTAGCTTCTGGTTCAGTCAGGGCTTTTCCTAAGACTGTATGGAATAGGAACTTTGAAAATGAAAAATGAGTTTCTCATCTACTTAGATATTTCTGGCATAGTGTGCTTCAACAAAGTTTTCAGCCATCCTGACATTCTGAATAAAAATTTGAGTACTGGCAAAAGTTTTCGTGAGAAGCTTGAAAACCTGCTGTAATAAATTCCGTGAACATTAACTGTGTGGCATGAAGGAGGAAACGTTAATTTTGCACGCATGAGAAGTTTGGACTTGTTTCATTGTGTTATCATGTCCTTTTATTGTCACTCAGCATTTTGACATAATAGAATAAAAAGGTAATATTCTATGAAAGAGAGTCCCTAATATGTGGTAATGTGTCTGTTCTAATGAATAGAAAATGACACGAAAGCATGCAGACACATTTGAGGAAATCCAAGTGTGCTACCAACATGCAGATATTTTCTCATCAGTGAAAATTTTTTTCATGCTTCATTAGAAGAGTGAGAACTCTCATTATGAAGCTACTACAAGTTCATAACATACTTGTGCTCACTGGTTTTAGTTCACCGTGTGCACGCTCAATGCACAGCCTTACCATGCTACTGTGCCACTAATTTGTTGTTAACTTTTCTTTCTTTCTGATCTTTCAGGAGGAAGATATTTATTTTCTTAAATACGTAATCAACTTGTAGGAAAAGTGCATATTCTGTATTGTATTCAGAAGCACATCTTGTGATTATGTTTTTAGGTATCATACACATTTCATCAGAGAATGGATACTTTATCTCTGAATGCTCCTCCATGTAGGAGGGTGTAATTGAATCCTTCAGTGGTGGTATGGCATTTTTAGTATTTGTTCTTCGTGTGAGTTTGTGCACAGTGAGCAAGTTCCTTAGTCAGTAACACTTCTCTGTTCCACCATGGCTACGTGAAGCAGACTTGAGTCATTCTTCAAAAACCATTTGGCATTTTTCCAGCAGAAATGTTGTAATCGGTAATAGTCCCATCTGCAAAGAAGGCAGGGAACCCTTTTGTTTCCCTGCTACCTCCTAGCTTCGGCCATCAGTGTGAGTGAGGAAAGGTAGAGAGGCGGTCAGGGCTGGGGAGTGGATTCAGGCACTGGCTACCCGAGTGCCCATGGGTGGTGAACAGCAGAAAAGGCAAATTAGAGAAGCCCTTTGGACTTCCTGTCTTTTGTTTGAATCAAAAAGCCTTACTGGATTTCTGGACTGTTAGAAAAAAAAACCAAAAAAAAGAAAAAGAGCCAACCAACCCACAAAACCCTTTAGGTTTAGCTCAATGAGTTTTAATTTTCTGTTAGTAACCTGTAGTACGTTTCACTGTTTGAAACTTCATAACTCCACGTGCAGTTCTAGAGTACACCATACTTATGAATACAGAGGATTCCATTCACTAACTTTAGCTCTGCAGGGAAAGAATGAAATCTTAGGAGCCATACTTTGTGTGCACTACTCAGAAGCCTAAGTGACATTCTCAGAAACAGCAGCTTGCCAGTACTTAACAGAATCAGTTCCTTTCTAGTAGTATGAACAGAAGCTGTCACAGTGGTTTTTCCCGTAGTGAAGCTTCTAAAGCCTCAAGAGTAGATTCTAAAATAATTTAAGTATTAGGACAAACAACCTGGATTAGGAGGCAAGGTTGGGAGGGAAAGGGTCCCCAAAAACCTAAATCATGAAAACTAATAGTAGGCATTTCATGCTCCCAAAGTGTTCATGATGAGCTTCTTTTTTATACATCACGTTCTATGACTTAGACATCTGGCAAAGGAGCATTGAGATATAGATGCATTGTTATTTTCTATTCATTATTCACAATAAATGTACTTGTCCAAGTAAAAATGTTGGAAAATGACGTTAACGTTCCGGATGGTGAGAGAAACCAAGCCTTATTTGTACCACGGAGGATTTATTTTGAACAAATTATGTAAATGCTTGACAAAAGCCAGAGAAAGTTGTTATGAGCTTCAGCCCAAATGCCAATTAAATGTCAAAACACATCTGCCTTTATTTATTTTAATAATACTTCCTGTTTGTGAATGTGCACACCTTGACATGGATGGCTCACTCTTTCTGATTTTTCTGTGTTTCCACTCAACAGTGGGAAGACTTTTGACAAGTTGTTTTTCTAAAATCTTAGAGATGGTGAATACTGTTGACTTTTGAAAATGTGATATAGCTTCCTGAGTGATCAAAGTACATGGATATTGTCAGTTAAATGCGCAATAATACATAGTGGAAATTGAAAAGGGACAATGGTGGCATGTTGCCAGAACCTCCATAGTGGAAACCACTGTCTTTAGTTCGTGAGTCAGTCAACTCATGGTTGAGCAAAGCAGCTTTTCCCCTTAGATGTTTCACATACATTAAAATACTGTAATTAACTTTATTTCTGTAGAGAAGATTGTATCAGTAAATGCAGCAATTTCAGGCACATTTCATTTGGAACATTATGAAAACAAAATTACTTTAGTATTTGGATATTTCTCTTTCCATATTATGAGTTTTGTGGTATTGAAATTGTACTTCAGAATGAAGCAAACACTCAGTTTACCAACTTGGCAATGCAGGACTTTGGATCAAGATTGAATCACAAGTTCCCAAACTAATATTGTCTGGAAGTGCTGTGTCTGTAGTACTTATAAATCAGAAAAGAAAAAGCTAGCATTTTTCTCTGTTGTTACCTTTAGGCTTCAGAAGGAGCAGTCCCAAAACCAAATCTGTGGTTTAGTCATGGGTTTCATGGCAATATTTAAAAAAAAGTAATAAAAATGGGAATGTCAGGCTGTCAGCATTTGAATTTGCAACAAAAAATTGTCATTGGGCTGTAAAAGCATTGCAACCTGTCTGGTGAAGTAAAGACTGAAATCATCCCAGAATTAGAGCTTGTGCTTTTTATTGGTTTTTTACTTTTTCATAGCTGGAAGGGCACAATGTCTTCTCCAATCTGAGCTCCAGTGAATATGAGCAAGTACTTGAGATCATCCGAAAAGCCATCATCGCCACAGACCTTGCCCTGTATTTTGGAAATAGAAAACAGCTTGAAGAGCTGCATCAGACAGGAGCATTAAACCTTAAGAACCAAGCCCACAGGTAAAACAGCAAACCAGTATTAGTTCACTATGGCATTAGTCCTAGAAAGAAAACCCTTATTTTTGCAAAAAAAAATTCTGTGTACACAGTAGTTGTCTTACCTATGACATTTCTAAGACCAGCTGTGTGTACAATTCAGAGTATGTAAAAGTAATTTCCAGTGTTTCATACTTTCACTTCACTGTCCTTGGATGTCATCTGCACAATTCAGTGACAGATCATCTGTAGTGGAAAGTTAGTGCTCAGGCAGTTAGATGGTGGGGAAAAAGGTGTAGTGCAATAATTACTTTGTTTTATTTTTATGTCAATACTTTTATTATTCTGTCAACATGGGGGTTTTTTTGAAAGAATTTTGGGCAGATTCCAACCCTTGTGAATTAAGATAGCTCTAAGTTTTAAAAATATGTAAGTGCATAAATTCATGACTGTCTTTGTCCACATGAGCAAACATGGATGACAGGCTTCAATAAAGAGCTCGGCTAGCCCTTCAGAGCTCTTCTTTACTGGAAAGTGGATACTGTAATTAATCTTAACACAGGGAAAAAATAGAAGGATAATATGGAGAAATACTGAGTCACGATTCTCATTTCCTTTCGAAAGGAACTTTGTGTCTTTCTGAGCAGTTTTACAACTTTTTGCCAGTAGTTTTGAACAAATCATTGCAATGCTGTAGGAAGGGCAGTTTTTAAAATCTTATTTCTCAATACAGAACTGAAGCTTATCAGATTTTAATATACCTCAGCATCTGAAAAAACAAACTTATAGTAGCTCCTGATAATCTCAGAATGAAATTTACCAGAAATCATGAATTTAGGTTTTATAAATTTTAAATAGGATCACAACTATTTAGTGTGTGGTTGAATATTCTGTTTATATTTTTTTTAATCTTACCTGTCCTCAGAGCATTGTCAGTGCAAAGTCACGTGCCCAAAGCCAGGACATCAGTTTGTAATGTGACTAAAGAATCCAAGGCTTCTAAACACGTCAATTTGACAGTTTCCTTCATAAATCTTAGATTCATGAGCCACAGTTTTGAGTAGCAGACAAGAACTAGAAATCTGTTTAACTAAGATTTGGTTGTCTGCACCTTATTCTAATAATGATTATAATCCTACTAATGCTGTTCAGTTATTCTGTGAACAGGTTCATCTGTGTACAGGGCAGTTACACGTAGGATTCTCGTTCTGTCAGGGTTAGAGTTCATTGCAACAAAGCAATGAGAGAGAACCTTGAGACAGACTCAAACCCACATTTCCATTTTTCCTATTTTTTGGAGGATGTGTTCCCCTCTGTTTAAAGAGTAGAAAGAAATACAGCAAGATATGCCATCTTTCTTTTATAAACTTGAACTGTATTTTCAGAAGATATAGAGGCATGTGAACGTTTCAACAGGCAAGCATTCTTGCATACTTTTCTATGAGTGTATTATGCAGAGGACAGTCAATGAACTCTGGTTGCAAACTGCAGGGATTACTACAGAGAAAATAATATACAATTTGTGTGATGCCTCACCCATGAATCATAGACAAGTGAGGCATAAAGAAGCAAGATGGGAGAAATTTTGTACTATGTATAGTTTACTGGTGATTGAACTGAGGAAGGGCAAATAAAAATGCTTCAGTGTGATCATTAATTCTTTACCATTCTTACGATTTAATGTGATTCTATTTTAGAGACAGAGTTATTGGTCTGATGATGACGGCTTGTGATTTGTGTTCTGTAACAAAGTTATGGCCAGTTACCAGATTGACAGCCAACGATATCTACGCAGAGTTCTGGGCTGAGGTATGTGTGTTTATTTTGTTGACTATCTTTATGAATGCAAGTATCCAGGAAGAAAAAAACAACCATAAGTATTTTTCAATCAATATCTTAGCATGTCTGTTTTAAAGAGTGCATGTTTGCATGCACGTGTTTTTTTGATTATGCTGAAGCTATTTAAAGAGCTGAGTTAGCTTCCTAATTTTTAGGCAGCTTTTTTTTCTCTCTGTTAAGGGTGAATGTAGAAGGTGTGTCCCTACATAAAGTGACCAAGCAACAGAACACACAACAAAATCTGTAAAGTTTTTTGAGTCACTAACTGCAGTTTTGTTAAGGACCTGTTTGTGTCCTAGAAATCCAAAATATGAAACCAGTTCCCAGGTTAGCTGCCTTGAAACACACTTATAAAGCTGTACTATGAGTCCAGAAAATGCTAAAGCAAATATGACAAACCCTTAAATTGCTCTGAACCAACCATTTGAGTCTTTGTGAGCTGGCTCAACAACTGGGTCTCAGAGAGACCTAATTTTTTAATATACTGAAAGTTGCTCCACAGATAAGATATATGGAGACCTGAAACAAGACATTGACCTGTGCTAATGCAATCATGTTCTTAAATAAAAATGTGTGTCCTATGCTGACGACCAAATGTTCTAATTGATTAATTTTTAGAAGTGGAAGCGATTACTTCAGGGATAAGGAATAGATTCTGAGGGTGTTGCATAGAGTTGGATTATGCAGATGTGGATGATAAACTGTATTTTCAGCACTAGCACTGCACATGTGTACCATACAGTGTTGTTCTTTTCTGTTATGTGCCCTGTGGAGGTCTGCAGAATTTAGTGGGTTTATTACTGTTTTGCACAGGTGTAAAACAGAAATCAAGCCCGCAGAGTTGATGTAGCATGCATATAGCGTGGGGATGGTTGTCCTGCCTGTTGCATGGTTTGTGAGTGTTGTTTGTATTCACATGTTCTCATTCTTTTAGTTGTGAACAGTTCAGACTACAATAAAATATTTGAAAAATGCGGACTGTATAAGCTCAAAGATCTAGTTCAGTACTCACTTTTTAAAATGTCAGGACTGGAAAGTGAGTGTTCGTATGAATAATGGAGGTATAATGTTGATATGCCTCACTGACCACATACTCAATTTTTTTTCTTACAAATAAAAAGACTTTTAATGCAAATCTTGTGAACTCAGTGGAGAAGGAAGGATCAACCTGATTTTTCCTACTCAGCAATAGAAAGATGAAAATATGGACATAACTCAGCCTGCCCAGACTTTTAACCTGTTCTGTAATCCAAGGATGAGTTAAGAAAGGTTGTATCTTGTTATATTGCTACTTTATGGAGCAAATGTAAAGTTGTTGACAGAAATGTAATCCTAGTAGTTTACTGAATCCTCTTTAAGAAGAGGTTAATTGATACATGGCAGAAGTTGGATGCATGATGATCCAGTAGGGTTGGCTGACAAATCCAGCCTCAAGTCGAAAGGCTTCATGAAATTAGACAGCTGGAGACAGATATAGGGAAAATCTTAGGGAACTGAAATCAATAGAAAGTTCAGATTGGGTTTCACTACAGAAATTGTTACTTAACTGGGGAAAAAAAGGTAAACTCTAGGAAATATATATTGGACTAGATTGAATGGTGATATTACAGTTCTGAAAGTAGGATAGAATGTTGATTCTAGTTACTACGTTTATAATATGTCTTCTTTGTGGAATCATTAACTAAAACAATAAATGCAGCAATTTTGTGGTATATCACACGTCTTTTTTTTCACTTAATAAAACCCAGTATAGCTAGTGTTTTCAGCTAAGATCTACCTTGATATCGCTGAGCATGAAGCTTTCTCACAGTTCTACAATTCAAGCAAAATAATACATCTGCTGCTCTGGTTGGTTTTTCTTTGTGTGATCATACAATCATAGAATGTGTTGGGCTGGAAGGGACCTGTCTAGGTCATCTAGTCACCTCTCTGGGCAACCTGTACCAGGGTTTCACCACCCTCACAGTGAAGAACTAATGTCTAATCTAAATCTATCCTGCCCTAGTTTAAAACTGTTGCCCCTCGTCCTATCGCTAGACACCCTTGTAAATAGTGCCCCCTAGCTCTGCTGTAGGTAGACCACTGTACTGGTAGACCACTGTAAGGTCTCCCCAGAGCCTTCTGTTCTCCAGCCCCAACTCTTTCAGCCTCTCCTCATAGGGGAGGTTCTCCAGCCCTTTGATTATTTTTGTGGCCCTCCTCTGGACCTGCTCTAACAAGACCACATCCTTCTTGTGTTGAGGGCTCCACAACTGGATGCAGTACTCCAGGTAAGGTCTCACCAGAGCACGTGAGACATTAGGCAGTTGTTACACCCTTTCTGCAGTGTGTTTAAGAGACTTTTAAGCCACTTACAGCCATACTGCAAGTATGGTACAAGCTTCGTTGCTTAAAATTTCAACTTCAACTTTCTGATCATGATCATAAATATGAGGCTGAAAGTAGTAGTTTTTACAACAGTGTATCATGTATGTGTTTGCACATACCAAACACGAGAAAATATTTGTGTTTCTAGTGCAAGTGTTCCATCGAAACTTAATACCTCTTTACTGTGAAGGTGGTCTACCAGTGGTACATGATGCCTGGAGAGGTTGTCATTGGAGATATTGAAAACCCAACTGGACACAGCCCTGGATCACCTGCTGTAGCTTATCCTGCTGGAGCAGGTGTGTGGGATGGTTTGGATGATCCCAAGAGATCGCTTCCAACCCACACCAATCTGTGATTCTCTGATACCTTTTTCTTTCAAGGTGAAATGATGAACATAAATCTGAGCTTTGTTCAGTTTTTCCATAATCAGAGGCTGGACAGCTTCCTCAAAGCTCTGACTTCAAGCATTTCTCAGGCACTTGGTGTTATGTTAATCAGTTTAAAATCATATGATGCCAAACGGTTTAGTGTTGAGGTTGTTATCATTGAGACTCTGGTATCTTCAGACAGACCTGGATCAATTGAGTGCATTATTTCAAGCAAATGGAAGAAAAGAAAATTATTTACTGGAGGCACATACAACCAAAATTTGCTTACAGTTCCTAAATAACAACCCGCTGTTTTTCTGTGCTTGGGATTGCTATAGGCATCTTTTTTTTATCAGCTAAGGAAGGAGTCCTTTCTTTTTGTTTCTTTCAGCAGTAAATTGTATAACACAGATGAGATTCAATGATTCTCGTTTCTCTAACTTCTTGGAGAAAGAAATTTGAGAAATGGTATGAGAGAATAATACAGACACCAATGCAAAAATAGTTTCCTGATTACATCTCTTTTTTGTTAATTGAGCAGGCTTATAGTTATTAGGTCATGTTGAGGCCAAATATGCAAGATGGAATTGATTTCCAGAAGTCCTCATCTTTTTTACCTTCAAGGTAGTGGCAAGGAAATCAGAGTCAAACAGAAAGATGCTCTATCCAGACCAGAATCTATTTATTATATTGCAAACTTTTCTTTGAGTAAAGGTGCCAAAATCCTCACTTGGAAGAGCACGTTGGTACTTGAAACATGGCTTGATAAAATCTTATGAGAAAGATGTAATAAACTGTCTTCTGGAGATGCCTTTGCTAACTGTAGTAGAAACATAGAACACAGATTTAGGGAACATCCCGTGCTTTCAGATAGCTAAACTTCTGTAATTTAAATCTCACATTGAAGTACACAGATAACCAAATATTGTATGGACAGTTATCCTGCATAAACTTTGTCTCTACCCTAAGGTGTACTGAGTCTGGCTGGAATGGAGTTAACTTTTCCCATATCAGCCCTCATAGTCCTCGCACTAGCTCTATCAAACATGAGGGAAGCTTCTGGAATCTTCTCACAGAAATCACCCCTGTAGCCTCCTGCCACAAAACCTCACCGTGCAAACCCCGTACAGAAGATTAACAGTTTGAAGATGACATTGATTTTGAAATCTCATACATGAGCAATGGCCAAAAGCAACCATTACTATGGATGTATTTGCCTTTATAAACTCAAGATTAGACATCTGTGGTGTTGTTACAGTTCAGTTAAGGCTGAATATTTGGAAAACTTCAATTTGTTACAGAAAGTAGCCAGCTACTTATGGATTTTTAAGGAGTAATTGTATTCAGGCCTAGTATAGTGCTCAAAAATGTGTTTTGACTACTCTGCTGGTAATGAGTAAATATAAGGAGACAAGTTTCTCTTGTACAATACATAAATCTTGTCTTTGGATATATTGCATCTTTCCTAGTATTCCTCTTATGAATGTAGAGGGATAACATACTTAGATAGCTGTTTGAGACACAGCTTCTTCAAAGCAACATGGTCAAAAAGACTAAATTGTTCACAAAGAGGGCATGTTGTAACTTCATCTGTTTTACTCAGCTTATCCTTGGATGGGTGAGTTGTGTTCTACTGGTCATTGTATTGTAGTGCTTTAAACAGGTAATGTTTTGAAAGATGAGACTGACTATGTGTGGAACATAATGGAATGATTTCTTTGGTTTTATTCTTCCACTTGCTTTTTATTATGGAGACACCCTTGGAAATAAGGAAAATGTGTGTACATTGACTCAAAAACTTCATTTTCAGCATCTGCTATTTACATTCACATTTAAGTGAATGTGTAAAATGAGCCTCTCCTTAGACAGTTTTCTCAAATCGCCTTAGACCAGTACCACACATTATTTTAAATTCTGGATTTTAAAATTGACATACAATATAAGATAGAAATTTATTTGGTTGTCAGTAGTCTTGATTTTTGTTTTCCTAATCTCTCTCTTTGATTTCTCCAGGGCGATGAAATGAAGAAAACGGGTATTCAGCCTATTCCTATGATGGACAGAGACAAGAAAGATGAAGTCCCTCAGGGTCAGGTATGAATTCTCTCAGTAAAATAATACATGTTTATAGTGTTAATAAAACATCTATGGAAAAACATATGTATTTGTAAGTATTGCATTTGATGTTAGGGGATGTGGGCTGCTGAATTCTGTGTTCTACGTGAAAAATAGGGTTGGGTTTTTTTAAGTAGGAATGGAAAACTTGTTTCCAAATGTTTACTTAAATGACAGTGTGTTCTTTGTTGTTGTCAGCTGTAACATTCTTTACACCTATAATTCTGACTAAAACAGCCATCGTGTATGATTTTGAGAACTTAGTAAGTGGTTGCTTCAGCACAAAAAGGTTTTGCTGGTTTATCTTGAATGCAAAATGAAATTTGTCACCTGATCCTGGTTAAAATATGTGGGCTCAGATTTCAAAATATTTGTGATTTTATACCACAACTTTGTTAGTTCTTTGGGTAACTACAATCACTGTGTTTTGACATTCCTAAAAAAAAGAATAATACAAAATGTTTATTGAGGATAAGCAGTAAAGGGTGTATTCTAAGATACTCAGTTATCTGTTTGTCAAACTCTTTGAGTACTAATTTTCCTGTGCACAGATGTGCAGAAATGACTGCACTTCTATGCTTTCCATAAGGAAAAAAACCATGTTTTGTAAACATAAATTTGAGGAGTGGAAAAAGTATATGAACTAATTTTTTAGGTAAACAAAAAAGGTAGTTTGTCATTTGATTATTTGAGCAGGGAAGAATGAATTTAACTTGTCCATTCATATACATATACATATACATATACATATACATATACATATACATATACATATACATCTGTAAGTTGTTGGCTTTTTTTTTATTTCATTGGCCTTTAATGCTTTAATTGCCAGTAGTTAGCATTCACAGAGTAAGGAATTAGTAGTTAATTTACTAAACTTGTGTGCTTAGCGTAAGCCTAAAAAGAGAAGAAACATTTTTCTTAATTTGGTTCATTTTTCCATATACTATATTAGTTATCTTTGAACATCTTTAAAATTGTATAGTATGCAGTCATCTTGGCATTTGTGAAAGAATTGATAATGAGGTGAAAGCACATATCTAAGAAATAAGCTATATTTTTTCTCTTTAAAATGCAATAGGTATTGTTCCAGGTAGTGCCTTCATCAGGTTCTTTTTTACTTTGGGCTCTCTTTCATGCTTCTTAATAGTATTACAGTAAAATATTAAGCAAAACAGAACATTAAAAGCCAGCTTCAGTAGTACAGTTGTAGCTCCTGTATCTTGCTGCAATTTTACAGCAAAATGGGAGATTTAGGATGTGTATTATTCTGTGAAAGTATCCATTCATATATTTATGTAGAGACTGAAGAATTTAATAAATCATTATCATCCATTTCCTTGGGCTCTAACAAAAAGCATTAATGAGTGGCTTTATGTGGAATTTAATTAAAGCATTCACACCTTATTTAGCTGACAATGAAGTTTAGGAAATGAGGATTTGTATAAACATGTGATACCTGAAAAAACCTCTACTTGTGCCTCAAGTACTCATCTCTGATGAGAATAACTTGTACTTAGCTCTCCATCTCAGTTGGGCAGCCGGATCCGTTGGTCTCTGTGGTGCTTTACACCCTTTCAGCACAACTCACATTCGACCTCTGAGTCTCGTGTCTTCCTACTGTGGAGCCTGTGCTGAGGATTTGTTCCTGCCTCAGTGAGGATGCCACCACCCCCTTTTCTGTCCCTCCTGATGGAACCTGTGAAGAAAATAAAAATGCCAAAACTATGTAGTGACCTGAAAGCCCTTTTAGTAAGTCAGTCAAGCCAGCCTGAGTAGTGAAGGGGAGAGAGGAAACTGTCCACATGCTTCAGCCATTCAATACTTCTCCCAGAAATACAGTTTCCAAGGTGAAAATAAAAAATCTAAGAGTAAACAGCAAGGATTAAAATACTAAGGGTGATTTCTTACTGCAGAGCATTAAAGATCCAGCTCTTAAAACCAGCAGTGGTTTAAGGTGCAGAGTTGGAGAGACAGGAACAATTTATTTCAGAAACAAAAAGTTATTTTCTAGTTTCTCTTGCCTATGCATATTTAGGATAAAGTGACTTCAATACTTATACTTGAGTAGACTCTAGGCTTTCCGTCTAGCCACAGCAACATAAAAATCAATCTGGAACAATTTATTGAGATGATTTAAACCTTTTACGGAAGGGGTTTGGAAGAGTTTGCTCTGGTCAGAAATGGAAACTCTAGCAAAGGAATGCTTGTAATTGGCTTTATTCAAAACCTAAATGCCTTGAGCCTTTCAGGGGTTTTCCTTCTTGATTGATATGCATTTTAACTTAAAAGCTTTCAGGACATTAAAGGACACATTTTATTCTAAATACTGGCATTCCAAAGAGAAGGTTTTACAGAATATATTGCAGGTGAACTCTGGTTTGGTTGAAATCTGTTGTGTTTCGCAATGGCAATGCACTTCTCATTGAACCAGAAGTTCTACAGTGTGACTGTACCTAAGATTCCATTTTAGTGTTTGACAGCTATGGAGTAATCTGCAGAAAAATAAGATAGTCCCCCTTAAAACCAAACAAACACAAGAGGAAAAAAAGCTAAGAAAAAACAGAGGAAGAAAACAATGCACTGTGCAATATAGCAAACTTCCTGTTGATGAGCAGACATCCCAGCTGTGTGCAGCCTTGCTTTCACACCAGCTGCAGTTTCTTGCTCTTGGTTACATCACAATTACTTCAACACAGACTGTTGGTTCTCAGGTCAGAAAACGTATCTTACTTTTTTTTACGTACAGAATGGACTTAGTTACAGGGCAGTATGGGAGGATTCATTTGTATCGATGGAGGTTATCAACAAGAGTTGCTCTTTGATTTCTGAAGAAGGCTAATGTTTAGACTGTTAAAAAGAGACATCAAATCCTTTGGGCAGAGTACAATACATGGTATTTTGCTAAAATGCATTTAAAATCTCGACGCAAAGAAAGGAATCATAGTGCACTACTGTAACTATCATGAGAGTCTGGGATAAATGAGTGATGTTATAATGGATATGAATTTAACCTGTCATCCTTGCTAATATATAAGTAGCATTTTCTAAAAATTCCCTTGTTTCATGACAGTTCAACTGTGACATGGTAGTTGTCATAGGCACCTAAGCCTGTATGAATCAGATATCATTAAAAAGGTGCTCATTTGATGTTCTTTAAATAGATTTATATGTTAATAGTAAAAGTATATGACTGAACTGCATATATGAAAAGAAATTGGTCATATTGATCATTGTGCATATCTTTTAGAATCTTTCAAAAGGTGCAGAGTCCCTAGAATCTCAAATAAATTAAGCTGTAGAATACACATCAGATCAATCCACAATCTGACCTTATTTTAGCAGTGCTGCACAACTTTCCTTTTTAAAAATATTTCATCACAAGAATGTTTGCAGAAATGGCTCTGCCATCTGCACCTACTTACTGTCACTACTGACACCAAAAAGCCAGAGAGATCCTGAGCAATTCAACTGAATCAATGGAATAATAAAAGGTCCTGTAGAAATTTCTATCTGAAGCAGCCATATCAGTCAAAAGAAAGGCATGTAAGCAACTTGTAGTTGCTGGAGACTTCATTGTTGATGCTTCATTTTTAACTATTTGGATATTAAGAGGAGATGCAGAAGTATGAAGTACTAACATAAGTAGCAATTAAGTGAGTAGTCAACAGCTTTGAGCTAGTTGGCTGTTAACTTTCAGTGTTGCAGTTTAACATTTAACTTTTTTTTTAATTATTGTTTTTTGATAGATTGGTTTCTACAATGCTGTAGCCATCCCATGTTACACCACACTTGCACAGATCTTTCCTCCAACTGGGCCACTACTCCGAGCATGCAGGTGAGTAGATGTGCAAGTTTTTGCACAGTGCATAGCTTGGTTAAAGAAAAAGCAAACATGCTTTACAAGTTTGTCTGGAAACACAGACTTTTAATTTTAGAATTTGCATGCGGATAAACAGAGATACTCATCTCACATTAATCTATGGAGAAACCTAGAGGCAATAACTACTGGCTGGGACTATCCAATGGAGATCTACAGACATAGCTGATTAAAATGTGTTTGACGCCAAAAGCATTTAGAGAAACAGGTCCAATACTTGTGTGTCCCTATCTAGTCTGGTTCAGTGCAATTTCCATGTGAGTCCTTGTTGCTTCAACATGGTTCTCACAACTAAGATTGGCTAGAACTCTGTTTCATTAAAAAAATGTTGGTTTGGCATGTGATTTTATTTCATGTCAGAACATTTTTCTTAAAAAGCAGAAAAAGAAAGATCCACAGAATATTCAGTAATTGGGAACTTAAGGGTAGTACCACTGGGATGAGAGAGAGGCAAATGTAACTTTGTCCAGTTGGGATGCAGCTTGGGGTCTTCTGAAGGAGAGGCAAGGAACCTTAACCAATTGGCTACTTCTACCCTGGAATGATAGTGGGATTTCTTTGTAGCTGATTCTGTCCATCAGTTTCCTAGGCCTTAGCAATCCTTCCTGGCAAAATTTCCATTGAAACCAGTATGCTTGATGAAAATGTTCTAATTTCAAATTAGACCTTATTATCTAATGAAAAACAATCGGTTCCTAAAATGCTAGCAATCTTTAGTCGCATTCAGGGAAATGAAGCCTATTTTTCTATGCTCTTACTAGCACTTCTCCTAGTTGTTTTTGTTTTTTTTTTCTCTTGTGGCCCTTAAATTCTAGCTTGCATTGAACTTTTTATTTGTCCTGTATGGCAAATCTACCTGCTTCATCACTTTCCTGATCTTGTCGACTAAATGATTTAAGGCCAGTTCAGATGAGGCCACTATATGCAAAATGCCATGAAATATAATAGAGTGGTTAGCAAAATATTTCCTTCACATATATATTTCATATAGCTGTGTGAAGAATATATAGGTCTGTACCAGTGGAACAGAGGGCTATCTTACAAAAAGCAGTATCTGGGAGCCATCTTTAATAGCAGGGTCCCACTGCTAGGCGTGGCTGTGCAACCCTTAGATGGGTTTGGAGGGAATATTAAGTAGGATTAAAGACTATGCATCAGTAGTTATTACATTAATAGGACTACAGTTGGAATCCTGTTTTGTGTCTATGCTTTGAGAAGAGTAGATAAACACATTAGCAAATAAGAGAAAATTAAGAAATAGCTTAAAGGATGTTTTGAAACCTTGGTAGTAAGAGACTAAAAAATCTGACATAAGATATTTTTAGCCAAAAGAATGATTATCAAAATCTGTAACTATGTCTGTAATATGATTAGACAAAGCTCATTAATTTAGCAGGTAAAGACTACGTGAAGGCCAAATGTTCAAACAAGGAATACGGTGAATATGTTTTTTAGCATTTGCAATAAGGTCAGCTGAGGATCTTAAAGGTATATTTTTAAAAAGAGAACGGTAAAAGGGATACAGTTCAGAGGCACAATTTCTATGATCAAATTGCCAAGGCCTGTCTTTCCCAAGCAGTAAGGCTTTCTGGTCATTTTAGAAGTGTCTTTCGTCCTTAAAAGCTATGGAGGTAACAGCGTCTGGTAAATAATAGGCAGTAATGTTATCCTAAATCGAGTAATGTGGAAGTATTCACAAGTGCGTTATATAGTGGTTCCATCAGTTAAAATATAGCGTTAAACTCTTCTCTAGTTTCAAGATCTCATGTAGTATTTTACAATTGTAAGGATATCAAAGCTCAAATCCTGTTTTGGAATTCAGAGTTACAGTACAGGGTAGGAATGTGTACTCCCTGAGCTCTGTTGACCTAATATATACATGCTGATAGCTGGATTATAGATAATTGAATAATGTGTACTCTGACAAATAAAGAAGAATTGCTTTAAGTGTGAAATCAGAGAACATGAAGTAACCTACAGAACTACTTGTAATCCTTTCAGTCTTTGCAAGGTTGGGAGTCATCTAGCTGCTTTACTGAGAGATAGTCTGAGATCTTGGATGGTTTCTAACTTCTTTCTCTTTGTAATCCTTGCTTGAAGGCATGTTGCTTCAGCTGTATTGATGGCTGAAAGCTGAATGGTCGGTTATTCCATCCACATAACTGGAACACAGATTGTTCTTTATGTAACCACGTTTTCAGTCAGAGAGAGTTTTATACTGTTTACATGGACTTAAGAACATAAACTCTAATACCCACCATTAGAAAGGCAGTAATGCTTATCATGAGTGTTTCCAGTTAATTGCTTCTACTCACACTAACAAAAGTTGTTCAACTGAAAATTTTTATTTCTTTTATATTACTTACTTGTCAACATCCAGGTGTGCGTTTATGCCCCAAATGAGTTATCCATATGATTTTACCATGAAAATGTCTTGCATAGTCTATGTGATTAATAGAGTAACCTCAATTCTGGATGTCAGAAAGGTTCTGTTACTCACAGAATTAAATGGGAGGTCTTAAAAAAATGGGTTTGTATTTACTGTAGAACATTTGCCTAAACCTGCCAGTACCTCTGGTAAATTAGAATGTTATTCCACTTCATGGGAACTGAGGCTTAGAGAGGCTAGAGGGAGGGCTTAAGACTGCACAGCATCTTTCTCAGGAGCAGGGTGCTGGGAAGACCTATATCTTTTGATTCTAGCCACATGGATATCAAAATGAGGCTTATTTGCAAAAGTGGCTTGTAACACTTGATGGCTCACCTTTCAGTAGTCAGCTGAGGAAATTTAAAGTTGAATTGCACCCATCAAACACCCATCTACATATGCATTCTAGATGAAAGGTTCCTTATGATTCTGAAGATCAAGCATGAACATCTTTTCAAGAGTGCATTTCTTTGCGAAAGGTGTGATGTCTGAAGTAAAAGAGATCAGACTTCTGGCAGAGATCACAGAATCACAGAATTTTAGGCGTTGGAAGGGACCTCAAAAGATCATCTAGTCCAAACCCCTGCATAAGCAGGATCGCCTAGAGTAAATTATATGAACCTTTTCTGCAACAGAAATTATGTTTGTTGTTTGGAATTCCAGTTACAGTTATAACACTAATACTTTTCTGAAAGCTACACTGACACAGTCTCCAGACTGGGTATAGCTCTGTACAGACACGATTCCACACCTTGCTCTTGTGCATTCCTTAATTTAGATTGCACTGATGCAGAACTGGGGCATAGATATGAGGATGGGGTTTAAGATTTCCATAAGACAAAGAACTTCCTGAAAACCCACACCCTGGCATAATGTCTTTTCAAGAGCAGTTTGATAGTTTCAGCCTAGCCCTGAAATTACCCTCTGCTGGCTGTTTGAGTGGGTTGATAAGGAAGTGTTGAAAGTTCAAAGTTCGAGACAGAGTAGGAAAGCAAGAACTCAGATCTAACCTCAGCGCTTCAATTATTAAAATGTATGTTATTGAAGGAGTTAGATGACTCCAGAGTGTTTCAAATAGCTGATTTGCACTTCACTTTTTTTTCCGCTTTATTTTTGATGCATAACTTATTCACAGTGTGAGGAATACAGCCTTATTCCTGTTTGGTATTGCCTCAGCTGTGGACTGAACCAGTTTTGATACCACCCCTTTACCAGCAGTGCTCGTTCTTGGAACGTGGAGTTTAAGCTGCCTTGTCCTTGAGTTGTTTGGAACGCAGACACCAGATGCAAATAATAGCAGCAGAAGCAGCCAAGGCAGCGTGTCAGCATCAAGGTTTTTATTTTGAGAACCTCTGGGCATTTATTCCAGACACTTAGGAGCCAGGGCATCACTGGGAGCACAAAGGCAAATGAATCGTATTATCTACATCTTTAAAAAAAAACAAAAACCCACACCAAAAAGTATCAGTCACTGATTTCCCTAAGGTAAGGTAGCAGCTAAGAATCTATTATATTTTCTTGTCTGATAATTTATTCCACATTTTTAAATACTATCTTGTCATTCTTTGTAGATCAAAACTATCAGCCACCTGTTTTAGAGAACTAGTCCTATGTGTGTTTTGTAGCAGATGTATTTGGTAGGCCTACCAAAGTGGCAAATCTATGATAGTGTATTTATTTTCAGGATGAGGTGACATTTTTTTCCTTTGTTTCAGGCCAAACAATTTTAAACAAATTTCCATGTATTTTCAGGTACCTTAATTCTTTTAAAAATATTTTGGCTACAGTTCTCCTCGTTACTTTCCCAGTTTCAGGAAAGGGAGCTAGAAAAATATGATGGTTCAGTTTATCTGAACCTTGGTGCCTGTTTGTATTAGCTGAGATTCAACACCGTATTAACGGTGTAGGTGGTCCCCTAGAGGGCACCAGCTTTCTTCAGTAGACTCCATCAGAGCCTGCCTTCCCCCAGCCCCAGAACTTCTCTGTCCTCTGTGCTTCCAGGTCGTTATCTGCTGTTTTATCAAATGTTTGGGCAAAGCTGTGACATAAAAGTCTGAAAAGCTCTGCCACGTAAATTCCGATGTAATACGATAATATGACACATAGGATCTAAGACCTTAGTACTTTTACCTTTTACCATCCTGTTTGTTTACTGAAGACATCTAAGAACTGCTTTTTCAGTAAGTAGGGATCTGATAGTATGAAATTAAAACAGTTGAGCCTGCTCTTTCTCTCCATATTTGAAGACTGAATGCTGGATTTGGCCATAGGTTCCAAGTATGGTCATATCATCAAGGTTGCAAATATGGATATCATCAGCATAGACTTCCAAATCACTGGAGGAGTGGCACTAGTGTACAGCAAGTAAAGTTATGGGTCTGTACTCCCTTTGAAGTGTTTGAACATTACCACCTTAATTGCTTGTTTTTTTATAACTTGTGAACCACAATTTGGACTAAAGGATTGGACAAGCTGTGAGACACTAAAGAAAAATTCTATCTCAAGGGAGGGCTGTTTTTTAAATGTAGTAGATTGGCAGTGTGATCACCACAATAGTAATCGAAAGGTGATACTTTGATGTTGGCATGCAACACTTCACAAGCTGTCAGGCAGTCCATATGCAGGAGTTGCAGAAGGCTTAGTGTGCTACTCTAGTTTTCGGTGAAGGAAGTTTCCTGGCAAAAGTCCTGATCCCTGCGGTGGTTTTGAGAAGGGCCAAAGTGTGCAGTGGTAAAATCCCTCGAGTTCAAAGTGAGGAAGGATGCTTGCCTCCAGAATGCTGTTTCAGAGTCTCTGCAAATGTTGTCTGTCACATCACAGCTGGGATTTCTCTGCAGCTGTGAGGGCTAGAAATGTTTAATGGAAGCAAGTGCTAGCCTCTACCTCCAGGACTCATTCTGGACAAGGTATGCCATAGGCTTACGTATGGTCAGCATGTATACAAACCCCACAGAATTACAAAATGGGGTAGAAGATGAAAGATGAAATGACATAAAGATTTTTAAAGCTTGATTACACACAGTTATTTATATACAGCATAAAGCTACATCTCGTAGAAGAGCATTACAGTATTGTTAGGAATAAATTCTAGTAAAGTAATGAACAGTGCTTTACCTCTGACCTTTTTGCATCTCCAGGGATAATCTCAACCAATGGGAGAAAGTAACAAGAGGTGAGGAAGCCTCTATATGGATTTCCTCCCAGTCCCTTGCTCCTGGGACCTCAGATTCACTTCCTGTGAAGATCGATGACTGAACAGCAGCAACAAATTGCTATAACCCAAAAAGCATCCCTTCTTGTTTTGGGGATTGTTTTTTGTTTTGTTTGTTTTTATTCGAAAGAAGGAAAAAAAAAAAGAAAAATAAAAGCTACAAATACTAACTAAGAAGCAGACCTGCCTAGAAAGGTAACACCCATGGAGTTACCTCAACTAAGTGACTCTGACAGCCAATCTCCTGACCTACACCCGTGACACAATGTGAACAGAGGGAAAATGACAACCCAGATGTTTTGGAGTCAGCTATCAAAAGAAAACTTGTGACTTGTGAATATAAAAGACTGGCCTTATCTCATGGGCTACGTTGCTGAGGCCTTAATTTAAAACTGATGGGGAGGGGGGAATCTTAGGGGGTACTTCTAAATTGTATCTTTCTAGTAAGGGTTTCAATGGTACTTTTATTATACCGTACTGTGGCTGGCTTTAACACCAGTGTCACTTGGGAGTTCTTGGCTATAAATAGAACAATGTACCCATTGCTATTGTGAATGTTTATGTGTGATCTACTTGTAATCAGTTTGAACTCCAGCAAAATCCTTAGAGACTATAATTCATGCTTAGGTTACAGTGAATTCTCTTGCTGCAAACTAAAGGAAAACCAACATTCAGGTTAAAGTTTTAAAGTACTTCATTAAGCTTCATGATACAAATTGTCACTCACAAGGCAAACATTGAAAGAACTAGTGATGGTGCTTTGTTCTTCAGAATGATTTGTAAACCTAGACAACTACTCCCTTAAAACACTGGAAGTACTGGATATTTATCTCCAATATGAGAGCGAGTTTCAGATTGGAGCTTTTGGGTTGGAGTTTTTGTATCCATGGTGACAGAAGTATCAGACTGAAATTTAAATGTGACAGCAAAGATTTCCTTGCCTAGCTCACGATTAAGTAAAGTCATCATTTTTATTTCTACCTGCTGAGTTGTATTTTAAAAGGTATTAGAGACATACCTGGAGTATACTATCTGCTGGGAACAAAAGCCTTATCAGAAAAGTCAGGTCTGATAAGAGGGATGGTGGTACCATCACAATAAATCAGAAATGTTTTTGTGTTGCACAATAACACTGCATGTCTTCTACTGCTCTTTCCCCCTATCCCAAGATGAGCAAAATTGGGAAACTTCTCCATTTCTCATTTGTTTTTTTTCCCCTAGTTCAGCAAAATTTCCAAGCTTAGAACTGCCCTTCTTAGTGAAAGAATAGCTGACTGCAGAAAAGTACTCCAAAATATTTTGTTTACAATTCTGTGCTGACTTAGGCTTTAGCCTTACAAATTTATGCACAGACTTTAAGACCTCACATTTAATGCCACTCTTAATTTTAGTGCAATTGTACAGAGTATGTTTAAACAACTGTTTGCCTTCATCTTTCCCTTAAAAACACAGAAAAAAAATCTTCATATTGATCCACACAGTAAGTGAACACAGTCTTTGCATACCTTTCACATACAGCCTATGCTGCATTATATGTTTTTCACAGATAATACACTCTTGTAGTGGTTCCATGATAACATGGCCATTTGTGTAACTGCAACAAATAATAGTAGTGACTTAAGGACAGAACACAGGTTTTCTTTTTCCATCCCATGTCTGTTGAGCTGTATTGCTCGAATAAGCATGCCATCTTACGGGCTTCATGTAAATAACTTGGACTCTTGAGTTTTGCCTTCTGTTATGGTCGAGCACATTCCAGTATCTGTACATGTGTACAGTATGTGATACATTATTGTATAATGTATAAATGCACCTAAGCCTTTGCAGTACATACATATCCCAGAGGCTGAGACTTCAGTTGAGAATTCAGGATGAAGTTATCTTATCTGTATGATACAGGTTACGTATCAGCAGCCCCATAGTTTTTTTTTAATTTGCTTTACCAATTCTAAGTGCAGAGATTCATTCTTAACGGCAGCAAACTATTCTGGAATAATGAAAAAAAACAAAGGATGAAACAATTACACCAGAGCAGTATCTCATGCTGTGTCTTCTACTTTACTCCTTAGCAGTTCTGTTTTAACTAAATCATGGAGATGCAACCTTTCATCCACTAAATACTTGACACACAATCCACAGTTCCTAATTCACATGGGAATTATCCAATCTATGGTGACTACAAAAATACTCCCTGAAATTCAGGTGCCCCAACAGCTGAACAGAATGTTTTTCCTTCATGGATTAAGCATATTTGTTGTTATTCTCCCTCTTTGAATGCTGATCTTACAAGTGTTGCATAAGTACTCCTTATCACACTGTGTCTGTTACGGAAATTTTAATTCATCTTTTATTCACTGACAGTGAAGATAACTTCCCTAGTTCTTTACTTAGCATTCAAAATATTTGGCAGTGTCACATAATATTTGATATTTTGAAGTTTATAACTACTAGTACAGAACGTAATTTCCCAGCAAATCTGTCAAATTGTAAGTTGTTCTATTAATGACTCAAGTCAATCAGGTATTGTTTCTAATATAGAACTACCCAAACCACATAAAATATATGCTTGCTGTAGTATGACGTCCACTAGAATTTAAAATTGTGGCTCCAGTGGTTGTGAGGTGGTCTGTTTTCCTGGTGTGTAAAAAGGAGAAAGGTCACAACAAAATGTTACTCTTCAGTAGTACCAGAACAAACAAAAAGAGGCACAATGGGCTATATTTTCTAAACAAATTTAGTCTGTCTTAGCACTTATGGAGTGCTGAATCAGATGTGTAAAGTTTTTGTAAAAACAAACTTATACCCACATTTCCAAAGTCAAAACCACCAAAAATTAGAACTTTGAAGCTGCATTTAAATTTCCTGGCTCAAGTACACGTTGAGATTAAATTGTACCAAATTTGGAACTTGAACTCACAATTAGAGTAAGAAGTCTAGATCTGTAAGACATCTGGCTTATTAACTGAAATTGCCAAAAAGCATACTTTCTTGCATTTTTATGCTGCCAAAACTGATCATGCCCAAGATCAATAACAATGTTTAAAGAACTTAACAGATCTCTCCTTTCCTGGAAATGTTACTCCCAGAACTGCATTATTTTTGTTAGCAATTTTAATTCCTTTTGCCTTCTAAGACCGGTGAAGGTAAGAGAACTGTTTGAAACCATATCTGAGGATTTCTAATGTATTATGAAATGATGCCTGAAAGGTTTGCACTAAGTGAGAAAAATAGTTGACATAGCATGATATAGTCATCTGAGATGTTGCAAAATTTATTACAACACTGACAGAAATTCCATTGTTATAAATTATCGGTGAATTTTTATATGGTAGTGCAATGTTCTGCTGTAATGGTTCAACTCATGGCAGGTTTTTTTTTTCTAAATAAGTCACCATTAGAGAAATGAGGTAGTTGGTTTTTTTTATTTGGAGTATGTGATAAAACATATTTACATTGGAGAGGACATGCAGTGTGGAATTAATCTTTTTATGTGGCATAGACTTATTGTTTAAACTTAGAACGGTGTGATCAGTTTGCTGTGACTGCATTTAGTGTTAAAATTATAAGGGTAGCAAATAGCACTATTCATGTTAAAAAGTAGAGATTGTTAGATGCTCAAAACAATTATGACCCTCTTAAAATAATGCATTTGCCTCAAACACTGTGATATAGGAGCAGTTCTGTGAAGTGGAACAATTAATTTGTTCATTCTAAACACAGAAAAGGCTTTCTGCACACTACTACGAGGAAGTTCATGTTCCAACTTTAGGTTATATATCCCAATCTAGCAAAGGCACATCGTAACTCTTGTTTTGCTTTCTGACCAAAAACTGTGCTCGATTGTAATACGGGTGTATACTCTGTCAAAAAAAAACGAATATAATGGACTGCTTTCTAGGGTAGATCAAACTGATTTGTAGAGTAGATTCATATATATTCAAAATTCAGGTTGGGCTGTTATGTGAAGAAGAAAGAACTTCAAGGTAACAACATTCAACTTTACTACATTTAGTGAGCTGAAAAATTTGTTTTATATATATATATATATTTACACACACATATATATATATATGATACATATAAACTTTGTAAAAAACAAAAAATATGCAAGTGCAATAATTTAAAGAGGTCTTAACTTTGCATTTATAAATTATAAATACTGTACATGGTGTGTAATTTTTTTCATGTATTCATTTGCAGTCTTTGTATTTAAAAAACAAACCTAAACCTTTACTATTACGTTTGTACAATAGAACAGTAAGCATTTATTATGATATAGTTAAGTTGTAAATAAATTCACAAACCAAACAGCCAGTACATACGCATATATGGGTGTCCTATTGTGAAACCTGTTTTTGCTTTTACTGCTGGCTTTAGCACAGCAAGACTACTTCTGTGGATATGTAATTATACATATAAATATATGTATGATACATAAGATATATTTAGAAATGTTCATAATTTTAATGGATATATCTATACATATACTTTGGTGTGAATATTGCTGAATACAGAGATTTTTAATATTATTTTTCATGTTTATTTTTGCTATTATTGGGAGCGGAAGTGAGAGAGTGGAAGTGCCTGTGTGTGTATGTGTGTTTATACTACAGGTAAACCACAGGAGAAAGGGATTCAAAACATAAGAGTGTCCTTTAGAAAGGTAGTGCCTGTTTTTCCCTGTAATTGCAGTTCACTGCTTATAGTGCATTTTTGTAACATAATTTTATTCTTTTTTTAAAAAAAATATATATCTTATCACATATTTCAAGTTCCCATTGTCACAAACTGCAAAGGGTTCCACTTTCCTATTTGCTGTCCTGCTGCCAGAGAGCTTACTGTGCTGTTGATGGACATTTCTGCACAGATCCTTGCTTTGCCACTGTCAAACAGCAGTACAGCTAGTGCAGAATCATTTGCTATCTTTGGGGAATTATGGAAATAGTTGGGTGCTGAATTGTAGAAAAATAATCCCACACTCAAATTTTTAAGATTTTCTAGTCCAAAGTGATATAGGGCTTTGGCAGCTGCCAATGTGCCACTGCCCTGAAAATACAAGGTAGGTTCAGAAAGCTAAAGCAAAATTCTGAACAACATGATAGCAGATACTTATAAAATAAATGAAAATAATGAGGAAGAAAATCTTCTGTATTTATCTGCCTAATACTCTTGACTTGCTACCAAGATCTTTTGCACTGTTCATGCTCGATAAGCAGAATATTTGCCATTTATAGACTTCTAAGTGGCCTTCTGTCTTTATGGCTGTGCATGACCCATCTGTTCTCAGAGAGAGGTGTCGAGCCTGAGAGTTCAACCTCAGCTCTGTCTCTAGTTCTCAGGGTGAGCTCCAAATGTTCCTGCTTTCCCTCCTCACTGGAGGAACTTGGCATTGCTAGGACAACTTGGCCAGAAACGGGTTTCCAGGGCAACTGCTTCAGTTTCACTACTGCACACTCTTCAAAAATAAGTTTTAGGAAATACACCTGCATTTGTGCTGTTGTGACCAGCCCTTCCAGAAAGCAATTTTTACTCCAAGGACATACTGCTAGGGCTAGTTTTTGTGATGAAACAGAAACTGCACTGATATTTGATGTACTTTCTAGTATTTCTTTATTTAAATTAAATCTCTCTGAGTTATTTTGAGAGGTG